TACATACATACATACATACATACATACATACATACATACATACATACGAGAGAGGGAGATTGGGGAGAGAGTGCCTTGGGGGGATAGGGAGGATGGGGAGCGGAGGGAGGGAGAGAGGACGACAGAACACACCAGGGAGACAAGGGAGAGAGGAAGAAGGAGAAAAGGGAGAGGACAATGTTGGCGGACTGAGCCGGAGGCTCTAAAGTTTGAAATTTAGGTCACAAGGTTTGACATTAAACAAGGCCAACCATCAAGGGCGGGCCAGATCCCTTTTTTTGCCGCGCGCATCCCAGATTCATCTGGCAGAACGTATTTCCATGACGTGCCTTGCTTGCACTGATTTAAACGAATTTGCTCTTACCTGCGTCTTCAAACAAGTCAGTAACTCCACCCGCTCAGCGTCAATTAGTTGCAGGAAGGGCCAGCATTAATTGCTGCTTGTGCGACGAGGCAGTTCCGGAATGCCGAGAGGCAAAGACATTGAGTTGTTTGTGTCGCTCTGGAGTTTGTCACCAGGACGAGGCGGCGGGAGTTGAGGCTTGTTCTGGCTGACAGCGCAAAGCTGTGTCTTGGCTTCCACGTAGATGCAGAACTACGCTTGGAGACACCCAAGAATCTCCCAAAAGCGGGGGTCGTGCCCGCATTTGCACGCTTGTCAGGTCACGTGGACCTTTGCCTGGCGCCCCAAACACAAGCGTGGGTTTGAAAGCCATTTGAACAGAGCAGAAATCTTTTGAGTTCTGCCGGCTCTGGGGCGCCGGGCGCCCCGGGCGGGGGGCGCCGGCTCGCTGGCTGCCCTTGACCTGTTGGCCCATTAAGCCTCGAAGGCTCGGTTTGGCCCGGAGGCCCGGAGGTCCACTGAGCCCTTGCGGCTCTGCTTGGCTAAAAAGCCCACTCTGGCCTGATGGCCTATTGAGACCTTGCATCTCTGGATGGCTAAATAAAAAGCCCTGTCTGACCCGGAGGTCCACTGAGCCCTGATGACTCTTGGCCAAAAGGCCCACTCTGACCCGCAGGTCTGCTGAACAAGGTCCCACCTTCTTGCTGCGTTTGGCCTGATGGCCCACTTTGACCCTGAGGTCCACTGAACAAGGTCCCACCTTGTTGCTTTGCTTGGTCTGATAACCCCCTTTGACGTTGAGGTCCACTGAGCCCTGATGGCTCTGCTTGGCCGAAAGGCCCACTTTGACCCTGAGGTCCACTGAGCCCTGGCGGCTCTGCATGGCCTGATGGCCCACTTGATCCGGGTGGATCCGTGCTGCTGCAACTGATGCAGCCCGGCTGATCTCACTCAGCTCTGCCCACACGGGGCTCGCTTGGCTTCGGCCCCCGTGTGGCCTATGCGTGCCACCTTGTGGCGGTGCAGGCCAACTCTTGAAGATCCCTTCAAAGTCAAGAGCCATGGCTATGACCTAAACCTACAGCCGCCTTTAGCGGCTCCGCTACCATGAAGAAACCCGCTAAGGGCCACAACCTTTTGAGACCCAGGGTTTCCAGAAAAGAAAACACAACAAGAAGAACAAACCAAGTTCTTCGGCCGCGACCTTTTTCATCGGTCGGGCGATGCGTCCTTGAGCCAACGCAGTTGGCGTGGATGCGAATGCATTTACCATGTATCTTACATTATGCACACGACTGCATTGTGATCAAACAAGCGTTCAAGAAGGATACATTTTCCTTAGTGTGTGTGTGTGTGTGTTTGTGTGTGTGTGCGCATGTGTGTGTGTGTGTGTGGGTGGGTGTGCGCGTGGGCGTGCGCGTGCGTGTGCGCGTGCGCGTGCGCGTGCGCGTGCGCGTGCGCGTGCGTGCGCGGGCGTGCGTGCGTGCGCGGTGCGTGCGTGTGCGTGGGTGGGTGGTGGGTGGGTGGGTGGTGTGGGTGTGTGTGTATGTGTGTGTGTGAGTGTGTGCATGTGTGTGTGTGTGCGTGTGTGCGTGTGGTGTGCTGTGTGCGTTGCGTTGCGTGCGTGCGTGCGCGTTGCGTGGGTGCGTTGCGTGCGCGGGTGCGGCGTGGCGTGGCGTGGCGTGGCGTGGCGTGGCGTGGCGTGTGCGTGGCGTGGCGTGGCGTGGCGTGGCGTGGCGTGGCGGCGGGGCGTGGCGTGGCGTGGCGTGGCGTGGCGTGGCGTGGCGTGGCGTGGCGTGGCCTTGCCTTGCCTTGCCTTGCCTTGCCTTGCCTTGCCTTGCCTTGCCTTGCCTTGCCGTGCCTTGCCTTGCCGTGCCGTGCCTTGCCTTGCCGTGCCTTGCCTTGCCGTGCCGTGCCGTGCCGTGCCGTGCCGTGCCGTGCCGTGCCGTGCCGTGCCGTGCCGTGCCGTGCCGTGCGTGCGCGCGCGAGCGCGCGCGCGCGTGCGCGTGAGCATTCGCGTGCGCGTGCGTGCGTGCGTGCGTGCGTGCGTGCGTGCGTGCGTGCGTGCGTGCGTGCGTGCGTGCGTGCGTGCGCGCGTGCGTGCGTGCGTGCGTGCGCGTGCGTGCGTGCGTGCGTGTGTGTGTGTGTGGTGTGGTTTTTGTGTGTGTGTGGTTTTTGTGTGTGTGTGGTGTGTGTGTGTGTTCCATGTTTCTCTGAAATCTGCCAAACACGTGGCATCATCAATGACATGTGGGAACCTGTGAACATGGTGGAATTCTAACATGAAGCCACCAGAGGTCCCTAGCTGTTTACACATATTGACGGCATGACCACATTCGCCTTGATTTCATCCCCTAAGCTTCATCAGGCACTTGTACAAAATGGTTTGCAGAACTGCCAGCGGCTTCTCAGCATTCAGATCTGCGACAGTCTCTACTAAAGGGCATGCCACATGTTCCCTGTGTTTTGGACTGCATGGCGATTCTCTTGGAGCTGATCAACGCGGGGGTCTTCACTTTTGACGCGTTCCCTTTCAAGTTCTTCAAGGATCCGGCGCACACCTCCGCCTATCGTTTCATGGCATCTCCTTTGCAGGGCCCGAGACAGAGTTCTTCGTTGATTCGGGTTGGAGCTCCAAATCTCTGAGAGGCAAAGAAAACTCCTGGGTCCGCAACTGGAAACTGCAAACACACAAAAAAAACAATTGGTCATTCTCAACCCCAAACCTACCCCAAGTCACAATCCAAGCCTGGTACTAAAGTGGCCTACCCAAAACCATGCAAAAAGGGCGGCCACACCTGTTTCTGGTTGGTTGTATCCTTGCCAACCTTTATCTACGCCTCTGTTGAGTGTGGCTCACCCGTTCTACATCATGTCAAGAAAGTCAAAGCTCTGGGTGAATTATCATATTTCACCAACCTGAAATAAGGTGGTTGGGGGGCTATTCCCCACATAAACCACCATTTGGGGTGAATTCGGTCGTGTGAGGTCGTTCTAATTCACCCAGAAAGCTGTGAGCTAATACCAAAGCAAAAAAAAACAAAGAAGCCCCACATCAAATCTCGTAGGACTTGGGATCCCGTACCCCCCAAAACAATCCCTGGGTCCTCCAGATTTGAGAGGATTAGAATAAGTTATAAGGGTACCATGGGTACCAACATTTTTCTTTTGGTCGATTTTAGAACAAAACCCTCCCCAAAAAAAGGAACGGTAAAAGGGCACCGGGGGACCTATGTTAGGAGAACCACTGGCCCAACCGCATCCCACTCCCAAGAGCCCCCCCCCCAAAAAAAAAAACCTGCCGCGCGCGCTCCGCGCTCCGACTCGATGCGGGCAAACGATTGTTTGGACGTCTGCTCAATTTCGGATGGTTTCTGGTGCGTAGGCGGGCCTCGCCAATTGATGAGAAACTCCCTGCCCTGAGACCCCCTGGTGGATGAAGTCGCTTCGGCTTCTGTGAGCATCGACAAACCCTCTACAGAATGGTTGACACGATAGATGACACTCCGCAAACAATGGTGGTTTTATAAACCCACGGAGACCCTTCTCGCTGTAATCTGTCTGACTCCGAAGGGTTTGACAGTCTGTCTCGAACGCCCAGCAAGTCAAATGTCCACCGATGGGACAAGCATTATTTATGAATGGCCTTGGAGCTTTGGCAAACATTTGTGTTAGTTTTCAGTGCACAAACCAAAGGAATAGGAATTTGCAAATGCAAGAACATTGCTGGTCGCGCAAACCAGGGATCTTTGGACTGGATAACTGTTCGGGAAGGAAACAGGTACATTGGACCCACACGTTGAAAGCCTTTTGCGGAGGGGTCAACAGCAACCCATGTTTGTTTTCTTTGGGGGGGGGTTCCTGAAAAAAGACACTATACCCACAAAAGGGCATGCTCCTTGGCTTCGATATACCTACAACCAACCTAGAGTGTTTGACAGGTATCAATGTGTTGGCAAGTTTCAACAGATGTCAACGATCCATCCCTGCTGTCTGCCAGGGTTACTGGGTAGTTCCTCGGAAAACCGTCTCAAAACCGGGTCTCTCAGGGCATGAATCATGCTCCGGTTGCAGCTCCCGGCTCTCTGCGTGAGAAAAATGGGATCGCTTCTCATGCCTCTCTGGGACCGCAAGTTGCTGAAGAATTTGTCACTCATACTGAAGACAATCCACGGCTTGAGCGAAAAACAACAAGAAAATTCCAAACACGTGACAAGTAGGTGCAACTTGACTTGCATAGGATGAATTGAAGTGATCTCCTTTGCCAGCTGCTTCCTCAGACGTAATGCTATATTGGGTCTCGGTGTTTTTTGAGGCTACCTTTGTCTGCCAATGTTGAAGGGAAACCAAGGGGGAATCCACTATTTTGGAGGGGGTCCCCTATGGTTCAGTTCATGGTGCAAAGGCTTCATCGCCTCATCGTCCAAGGAGAAGCAAGGTTCGCCGTGGTCGGTTTCAGCTTACTTGCCTGTTTGAAAAAGCCTTGACCTCTCGAGCTTGTTTTCTGTTGAGCAAGGCTACATATTGCAATCAATTGCAGAGCCATGCCCGCCACTATGATTTGCCGTATTCGCAAATCAAACTGCGACAGTCTGCGACAGTCGTACTGTGCTACGCTCCGACGCAGCCTCTCTCGCTGTTTCGCTCATCTCTCGCATGTCTAGGTGTATCCGGCGAAGTGATCCTTGGGATAAAGTGACTCGGAGTGCGAGATAGACTTCTCAGAATCTGCCTCAGCAAAGCACATTCTCGTACTTGATCTTGATCGCTTTCCCGTTCTGGCAGGACACCTGGTATCCTGAGCTTTGTGAAGCCTCCCCTCCGTTTCTTTGTTTTGATTGGCGAAAAGTACGCTTTTCGAGTTGGGTTAAAGGGACTCCATGAGGAGAACCACAAGTTGTGTTTCGTGGTTTTACTGGGAAGCCAAAAGGAAGGGCGGCAGCATCCCCCAGTCCCTTGCTTTGTCAGAGGCCCTGTTTGTGCATTCACGCATGGATTTAGCTGCGCCTGACTCCAACAAAGTGCAAGATTGAATAATCAGCATCTGGGACATGGGTGTGCCTCGTTTTAGGGGACCCCCAAAAATAGAAAATCATGTGCATGGTTGTCTTTTTGGTTTCCGGTTAAAACCCATACAACAAAGGGGGTGGGTGGGCATTCGGCATTTTGTAAAGTTGCTCGAAGTGGAGTCAACCCTTTGGGGTCGTTTCGCCAGGTGGCTAAACCCTTTGGACAAAACATCCGAGTACTTCGGGTGTTTCTCAAAGAGGATGTGGCTTCCTTTTCCAGGCGCGCCTGACTTAGGGAGACCTCCCAACCATGGAAAACTAGAAATGGCCATGGGTCAAAATCCAAATCGTACCCCCCAGTGAACATCCGATTCAACCCCCACCAAAAAATAGGTTCTAAAATGGGTGGTGCACCTACCCCAAAATGGTACCATTGGTTTTGATCCACAGCCAAATCACCTTTTGACTACCAGTGTGTTGTTTGCTTGTGTCCTTTCCGCAGTTGTGCTCAAGCAAAGCCAATGGGGGCTCAACTCCTGGACAACACGCAACACATGGCTATAACTCTAAATATTTGATGGACATCATCTACATAAGGGATGTGCTTCCTCTCTCAATACTAATGGTACTCAGATTACAAGCACACCTACCTCAGCTTTGCCCTTAGCCCAAAACAATCAAATATTCAGTAACCTTGTCTGACATATGATTCCATTTCATTCAGTAAACCTAATGTAAGACGGGTAGCGTATCAAAAACACACAACGCTACTGCTACTTCTTTACAAATCAGAAAACAACAACTTGTTTTGCAATCATTAAAAGAAGGGAAAACATGTCTTTAGCAATCAAAAAACAGAACATCGCAATCCCCATGTAGAAGGCGGCCATGAAAAGAGGAGTGGGGCTTGGAGTTTCTTTGGACGAACCGCCGATTCGGCGAGGCGACAGTTGGTTGGCCAAGCAGCTCGCCGCGGCCTCGTCCACCTCGGTGATCTGCGCCATCCTCGGGCAGGTGGATCGGAGCGGCGCAGGTGGTCTGGGTGCTTTGCGACTCACCCCGACCCAAAAGACATTCTAAAAAACTTGGGTGCTGTAGATCCCCCAGCAAAAAGTGAATAACGCTTTTGCTGGTGAAAAGGAAATATGCGGGGAATCCAAAAAGTTGAAGTCTAAAGATCCAAACCTCTAGCAGTAGAGAAAAAGGGAGGCCCCCTTCCCCTCCCTCCCCCCCAACCCGCCCCGCCCGAAAAAAAGAAAGATAACAAAAAGGGACGTGCCACTGTTATGTTCAAGAAAAATCTTTCCCCGGCCAAAACTAATAGGAAAAGGGGAGCTACTGGCAACTGGGAATGCAACAGCCAGAGACAGTGACTATCCAATCTGGGCAAATTCCGAGACTAAAAAGCCCACAGTAAAGGAATGCAAAGGACCTATATGGATGAGGTCGGTTTACCCTTGCCTCGTTTTGGAGCTCTTTAGGATTTGTCCATAATGGGTGTACAATTTCTTATGGGAATTCTATGACGTGCGTGTCTACGGGACAAGCCAAGCAAGTGCAGTTCGTCTCGAAGCATCGGAAATGATGATTTGTCCCATGGCATGCCATGCATCTTCCTAGGTCCTCCAGATTTGAGAGGTTAGAATAAGGGTAGCCTTTTTTCTGTAGTCTATTTTAGTAGGGAACCCTCCCCCCCAACAAGGGGAGAGAAGGGCACCTTCAGGACCTAGTCCTGGGCTTGATTTTGAAGCGAACACGTCCAACTGGCGCCCGTCGGAGCCGGCTGTACAGGGAGAAAGGGGGAGGGCAGTTCTGAAATATCGGCGCTCGGCTCAGAGAGGTACCCTCCCAATTCACATGGAACTTGACCTTCGGGGCTTCGGGGGGAGGGGGGGCTCCTGGTTAGTTTGCTTTTCAAGGGACCGCGCCCCGAAGGTCAGGCGCCATGTGAATTGGGAGGGTAAAACGAAACATGGGGCTTGTCAACCAAACCCCGTCTTCAGGCCCCTTTGGGCGCCATGCTGGGCCCAATCACTTCTCCATATAAATAATAAAGGGACAAACACCTCCGCTTTTGGTCAAAACCCGTTGTTGGAAGACCGACTCGTGAAAGAATGGGCTTGAATCAACCGAAGGGAACTCACTCTGCGCCTGAAATTACCCCAAAGGAACCAGGTTTTCGTCTTCACAACTCCAACGTGTTTGGGCCAGGGCTAAGAGGAAACTTGAAAAACCTTCAGAGTGGTAAGCCCAAATCTTAAAGAAAAACAACCACAACATATGATTTTCGATTGAGAAGGGTCACTGTTCCCATCTAGGGGGACATAGCATCTTTCCAGTGGTTTCCCCCCATGGAAATCCCATGTAAAGGACTGTTGGATCAACCTTCATTTGCATCCATTTGCTTAAGTCCCCTGGAAAACATAAAAAGTAACATATGTCCAGTAGTGCAATCGATTCCCTTTACTTCCACCAGGGGAAAAAAAAATCTTCACCAAATGGAAGTTTGGGAGTTCTGTCCCGGGTCGGGTCCCCCGGCTGACCATTGAACTCCTCCTTCCCCAGGTTCACCACGACCACCCTGGTGCCCTGCGCGCGCCGAGAACGATTTTCGCGTCGGCTTCTGCCGGAGACCAGCGCTGGGAGACGTGCCCTGGGGGGGGGAGTTGGCGGGGGGGTTGGCTGGGGGATTGGGGGTGGCTGGGGGGGTGGTTGGGGGTGGGTTGGTTGGGGGGGTTGGGAGAGTTGTGAGTGGGGGGGGGCAGTTCCTTTTGGGAACCCCAAAAAAAAATGGGCGAAAGTCAGCAGCAAATAAGCATCTGTTGAAGCCTTCGAGGAGAAATGCCAAGCTCAAATACAGGCCGGGGGTTAAACCTCCAGCGTGGGTGAGTCAGTGCGAAAGCTCTGAGTCTCTGCAAATTGCCCGCCTGAAGTTCTGAAGAGCCCTTGCTTGACCGTGGCACCAAAGATACCTTTTCGGTTTTAAAGGGAAACCCAAAGGAAACCCACAGTTTTGAGGGCCACTTCCAAGAACACCATGAATATGAATCTAAATTTCCGATATAGGCTTAATGCAATTGGTTCCCCCAGTTCCACGAAGCAAGCGGGTCTGCTAACAGTTGCTGTTGCCGCTGCAAACGCACGCCTCCAGTGACGCGGAAGGTACGCCAGGAACAGAACATCCCCAGATCTCGGAAGCAGGGCAAAGCCCCCTCTCACAATGGGAGCCACATTCAAACTATGCATTTCTCGTAGAGGACATGAGACATTTACTTGCTGGTTCTCAGAGAATGCGAGTTGGAATGACCCCAACACTCCCCTATGGTTTCCTGTCAGGGAATCCCTTTCTGGTTCATTCCCGTTTCAGACCCCGACCTAACTTCCCTCCCATCAAGTCCATTTATTTCCTCAAACATCACCCCATCAAAAATTGGCCCAACAGCTCATGTTTCAAGTTGCTGGAGGCAAACATGTTGGTCTACAAGTGTGTGCCTCCAAACATGAGGCGTTGTAATGAGCAGTGGCCATCATCAGTGGCCCTGGCTTTCCTGTACATCAACCTAAGGGGGTACTATCCAAAACACGACACACCCATGTACCAGCACCCGCCACCCGCCAAGGACTGCTTCTTTCCATATCCAAGACCCATCCAAAACTTGCTTTTGCTCAGAAGGGAGTCAGGGAATGAACCCAGGGAGCCTTAAACGAAACCACGAGGGATGGTTTATAAGGGTCATTCCCGCATTCCCCACTCAGCACCAGCAAGAAGAAGCAGCCGTTGGCTGTGGTGGCAAAGACCCCATAACAAAAACGAAGTCCTTTGGGAGGATGATGTTGGCCGGCTTCATGCCGAGGACGTCTCTGCCTCCTGCGAGTTTCTCCTGAGATGCTTTGCTGCTTGTGCACGCGCAACTTGGGGTCTGGCTGGACACAGAGTTGTCTCCCGCAGATTAACATGGCAATGCCCAAGCTGATTCCTTTTGGAGGAATCTCCTTTTGGGGATCCCCTGTGTCCATATTGATCTGGGGCAGGAAACAGGTGTGCGGAGATCAGACCATACCTTGTGGCGTCTGTATGGAATCGACAATGTTTGGTCATTTCCCTAGAATAACACACCCAAAAGTTGGGTGTAGCTCAACATAGCGAGGGAGCATCCCAAGTATTCTCAAGGGATGTGCATGTCTGGATCCTTGGCTGATGGCAATTGTTAAAACGTCCGGTTGACCAATCGGGTGGGTATCCTTCGTGTTCCCGAGTACCCTACTGTGGATGGATGAAATCCTGCTCCACCCAAGAAAGCCCTGGAATGATTCGATTCTCCTGGAAACAAAAATACAAACAATGGTTTTCCTTGGTTTCAAAGTGGTGCAGGACATCGTCCATCCACAGCATTAATGCGGGGTTCCCAACCTCCGCTCCAGTTCCTTTTCTTGAGTCACTCGATCCAAGGCAAAACGTCTTGAACAGGAGTCCTGGAAGCTTCCATGTTGGCTGCAAGGAGATTGTTGCATTTTGACGGGTACCCTTTTTGCAGCGGTTTTCTGAGAAACTTAAACCACCAATTTTGCGTATTTTGAGTCAAATCCAAAGCAGTGTCCTTCTTCACATATTGCAAAACAACAGAGACAAAAGGCATTCCAAAAGCTTCAAACGAGCGAGGATGTTTGACATTACAAGGCTTAAGCCCATTGATAAACAATCCACATCGGGCCAGACAGCTGCGTGAGCCTGGCTTCAACATCGAGCCAACTCACCAAAGCTGGTGTCATTATTTGATGACTCAAATGCGTAGATGTCACACGTCAGTGTTCAGGAAAAAAGCCGGCATGCGGCCGGCTTTCCGTCAAAAGCAGTAGACACGATCACGGGAGCAGCAACGACCAGGAACGGAGGCAGAACCAGGAGAAGCACAACAGCAACGACGACAGCGACAGCAGCAGCAGCAGCAGCAGCAGCAGCAGCAGCAGCAGCAGCAGCAGCAGCAGCAGCAGCAGCAGCAGCAGCAGCAGCAGCAGCAGCAGGAAGAGCAGCAGCAGCAGAAACAGAAACAACAACAACAAGAGCAGCAACAAGAACAATACTATCACCGAGCAGAACAAATAAATCCAAAAACGAAGATAACAACAAGAGCAATGACAGGAACAAGAGAAATAACCGCAAAAATAACAAGAACACATTTAAGAACAACAAATAACAATAAGACAAAAACAAGCATAGGAGCAAGCCCAACAACAAGAGCAAGCATAAGAACAAACAAACACAAAAAACAAGACAATAAACAAACAATAGGAACAAGAACAACTACTGGACCATAACACACAAACACAAGAACACACCCATGCACGTCACCACCAGCAGCAGCAGCAGCAGGATCAACAGCAACACCAACATCAAAATCAACAGCAACAGCAGCAGCATCAAAACCACCATCACCACCACTACCGCCAACAACGACAACGGCAACTAGAACAACACAAACAGCACGCAAACTCGGCCTGCGACCAGCTCACCACCAGCAACCTTGCCGTGCCCGTCATCTTCGCGATTAGGCGTTTGAACAACGTACCGCGACACCTCCTTCCAGTACCTCCGCCGTCCCTTCGCGGCTCCGTTCCATGTCGGGAGTCGGGACCTGCCGTAGGGCTCGTGACCTTGCCCGAAGACTTGTCCTGAATTGTGTTCTTCTCGGCTACCAATGCGCTAGCCCTGCTCAAGGGCCAAAGCTTGTTTTCCACCTCGTCAAAGTCCGCCATGGGTTGCTGCCGCATTAAAGAGGGCGCCGCTGCGTAACCCACATGTGCGCATATGTGAGGCATGGGCAAGCTGATTTCTTCAATCGCACATGCTTTTTGAGAGTCCCACTTGTTTAGGGACAGGGACAGGGCTGTGGGAATGACCACTTGTGTGGTACAACAAGAAGGTCCCCCAAAGACTACCCGGCCATTTAAAGAGGGGATTCCCTTGTATCACAGAAATGGGGATAAACCCCTTGATCCCACAACCCTCGACAGGGATGCTTTTGCCCATCCCTTGCTTCAGCCGAGCTGCTTTGAGCCTCACAGTGTAGAGCCCTCGCCTCGCGTGCCGAGGCAATCAAGCAACTCGCCTGAGGCCATGGGTTCCTGGTGCGGTCGAGTCTACGTGGCAAAAGCCTTATGGGTCATGGTCAAGGTGCCCTTTAAAACCATTGATCCACGATCAAAATACTTTGAACATGGTATTCGTGTTGTTTGTAGTGTAGTGACGTTCTCCAGGTTTGGGCATTTTGCAGAGGTATCCCGGAAGTCTGTCTGTTTTTGTGAGTGCCCTACTGTCTTCCTTGGAAACAGGTAGGAAGGCTGCAAACATGATGTGTTCATTTGAATCGTAATGATATGCGTCGGTGTCAATTACGTCATCAAAGAGCTCCAAAGAAGCTCCTCACGAAGAATGCCCTTAATGCGAAACTAAGTGGCCAAAGCCCTATCAAAGAGCTGACAATCCTTGCAAGAAAGGGGTAGTCTGGAGCAGGTGATGGGGGCTTAGCCACTAAGAGCAAAACGGTGTGATATCCCCTCTCGAAGGGTGGTGATTCCGCCCTGAAGGGGCGAAGGTGTGCTTTTGCAATGACTTTTCGTCTCAAGTTCGGATCGAAACCAAACGCCTTGCACGTCTGGCTTAGCTCCCCACGACTTGTCAAAGCTCACGATCTGAGCAGGCTTGCCGTTCCTCAGCGCTGATGCCAACAAGCAGCCATGCTGATTGGAGCCCGTGAGGAACTGACACTCTCTGGAGTTTGGCGACATTTGGCTCGGGAGGGAGTGCACGTGAACCCGAACGAACTCGATGCCCCCATTGACCCTTGTCTTATTGGTTTCCTGAAGTGGCCTAGCTATTGCTCTTGACACATTCCCAGCTCGCGGTGTGTATACACGGACGACTACAACTGCGAAATCTGCCAAGATCAAAACAAGCTCAAGGGGTCTATCCTAAACATTCCTCGTCTCCCGTGTCCTTGATGACAAGGAAAAAGATGTGTTCTTTTTACCCCAGGACTGGTGAGCTAGTTGTAAACTGGCAATCTCGGGGCGCCGGGCAGTTCAGGTTGGGATTCGATCCCCACCTCGCGAGGGGCGAAAACGAAGGCCTTTTGCACAACAGGGATCCGGATGCATGAAAAACACCTGAACGTTGCAACTTGTAAATGGTGCTTTCCAACTTTATTTTGGTGAAGAAAAAGCAACATGTTTCAAATGGTTGCAAAATGTATTTCTTTTAAGGAGCCCTGCACAACCATCAAGTCATGAGCAAATCTGATATGGGCGTAACTGTGACATGATTCACAAGGGCTGTGATACAACAGAAAGGGCTTCGCAAGGACTAGTTTCTTCATATAAAGGGGGATTCCCTTGTATCACAGAAGTGGGGAGATTCACAACTGTCAGTCTGCCCTGCATGTCGTCCTACCCTCCTTGTTTTCCTGCTACCCTTCTCCAGGTCAGAATTGCCTCACCTGCAACCTCTGCAGCGAGCAGTTGCCTTCACTCCCGATTCACTACACCAGCAACAATTAAGCGCCTCATATAGTTTCCTCTCTTTCGTTTCCCTTCCACTCCCAAAGCAGAAGCACGCACGTCATATGTTGAGGGGCAAGTACTCACCTCCGAGCAAAATGGGGATATCGTGGATTGCGGAGGCGGGGGGCGTTCACTAGGATTCCTTCTCCAAAGGGTTGAACCCTAAGTTTGGGACTGACGTTGACCATTCCAAGTCGACATGCATCTGAACGTACCATTCACCCACAAGCAATGGATCATGGGACTTCCCAGTTCCACTCCTACGCATCAACATGACCCCCAAACAAATTGTCCTAAACAAAAACACGGTTCCTCTATTGTAGTATAAGCAGAAGCACGATGCTGGTTTCGCTTCCACGCCAATGCTTTATTCATCTATGGCGGGGACCGTTCTTGAACACGGGACATGCCGTTGGCTACGAAGCGCATGAAGCGTAACCAGTCTGCAAGACCCGAGGCTTAAAATTGACAGGTTTACGCGATCTAGCATGATGCCTAAAGTGTTGACCCCGCTTGGATGTCAAATGAAGGCTGTCAAGGTCTCTCAAGTTGTCTGTCCTCTTTGGGAGATGCAATTGAATTGGGGTTGTTGTCCGTTAAACTGACCACAAATGGTCAACCTGGCCCTGGCACTGGGAAAAAATGGGCGTACGCCCCACAAATGGTGGCTTCCTTTGTTGCCCGTTGAAACCAACCAAAAGGGGGCACCAACTCCAAAAGAAAGCCGAGCCACCCAAATCCTTTCGTAACCCAAAGGGGTTGGCCCAAGCTTGTCCATTCCCGGTTAGAGTCTGACCGAATGCACTGAGCCAGGGGCTACTTTCACAGAAACCGGCTGAGAGAGATTCTGTGGTCTGGCGGAGAGGCGGAGAATGGGATGTTCGAGGTTGGTGCTTGGGTGTTTGTTGCCAAGTTGTCAGTCACATGGGTTACAACCCACTTGTCAGGTGGGTGAGTTCGCAACTCTTGGGTGCGAAGGCGGACTCGTTGCTTCGTTCGATGGCACACGCCACTGGGGTCTTCGGTAGTTTACTGAAACCCCCTCTCACACCCCAGATAGCTTGGCTGGAATTAGGACCCCAGCTGACAACTAGATTTTCTCCCTGGTTAGTGGAAAACAAAGGGGATCCCAAAAAAGCAACAACAAAGTGATCAAGATAGTCCCAATTCCTCCGAAGCGATTCCGAACAGACAGGAGTGGGAGTATTTTCATTAATAGGGGGCGGGGGTGTTCCCCTCCAAAAGTGGTCTGATTCCAGTGACGCCCCCCTACTAATACACTGGGATCAATTCATCCGGAGTTCCCATTACCCAGTTGGTCCCAGTTCGTTCGTTCGCTTAGCGATTCCGGAAAAACACACCGGGTATTTCTCAAAATAGTAAACCCCATAAAGGGGCTAGATGTCCTTTGGCTTTTCTTTGACACCCCTGGTTTGTCACAACCAACTTTCAAGTGGGAATTGGAGGCACTGAGAACGACTTGCATAGGGTCCTCCTCATCCGCTATTGCGTCCTCATACAAGAAGGTCAACGACAATCATGTCTACTATCGTGGGCGCTGCATTGCTGCACGTAGACGCGGAAATGAGTGTGCCATTTTTGAGAGAGTTCCCGGCCTGAATCGTTTGACCATAAAGCCACAGGAAGACCACCAATGGTAGGGAACACAAGTTGGAGACAAAATACGGACTTTTGGTGGTTTAATACGGACTACCCATTAGTTGGCAAAAAGTTGCTTAGTCCTAACATCCAAGCAAAATGCACCAAAGCAAAGGCCCAAACCTTCCAAAGCGCGGGGAGTTCGGGTGAGGCTTCCCGGTGAGCCGGTGAGCCACCGCTCACTGCTAATTAAACCTGGCGGAGTGCTTGGATGCTTTCAAGTGAAGGATCCCATCTCATGTTGACCCACGATTAGTAGACCCGTTCCAGTATTAGGGGGGTGTTGCCTCCAAAAGTGGTCTGAATCCCCACTGAAAGGGGACACCCCCCTAATCGACCAGGGTTCATTTCTGCGGGCTTAACAGAAGGCTCAGGCGGGCCAAATTCCTCGAAACCAGCGGCGAAAGCTTCGCAGGTGGAATCGGTCACTTCGCCTGTCCGGGCGCTCAATAGGCACTGTGCCTGATGACGATGGGAAAGCGGCCAAAGTCCCGTCCTCATGACCACTCTGGACTCATTTGGCACTTTGGTCAACGTAAACCCAGCAATGCCTCCAGGGTCCACAAACAACACGCGCACAACAGGGACAACCTGTTGAGGTCTTGATTTCCCACACGCCGCCTCAGCTGCTCTGAGTGACAAAGTATGCAATGCTTGCCCCACGCGCCCATTGTCTCCGTGGTTCTTCACCCTGCTGCCAGCCAGGGCCGGGTACAACTCGGGTGCTCTCCCGGGTGCGTCGTAGAGCATACAGCCGGCCAGCACTTCGGAAGTTTGATGTGGAATTGCGCGAGTTGTCTGCTTCTTGGCCCCTAACACACGGTTTTTTTTCATGTCACCATTTTGGGCAGCAGGAAATCAAGACCTTGACTCAGTCAAGCTGCACACCAAATCCTCATGCCTCCAAGCCACCAGCACTCAAACAACTCGGCAGAATGAAATTTGGCTCGCCACGATGCACAGGAAACCAGCAATCTTCCCACAGGAATCCTTCAACCCACAACCTGCTGTCCCCATTCTTTCAGCGACTAAAGTTGAGAGGCTGTTCGGTTCAGCGATGACACAACAAACTTGCTCTGGGGCAGCTTTGTGGATTTCATTCACTGGATTTCCCTGGATGGGGCTATGACTACAAATGGCAAGGCCAAGTACCCGGGTCGTGTTGGAACAACTCACTGATTGGCTCACAGGGAGAGTAGTCGACCCCAAAGTCAATGCACATCCGACCCCTCTTCATTACCAATTTGGGCATGAATCTTAACTAGGGACCCTCTGGTGGACATTTATGCGGGGTTTTATGTTCACCAACCACTTTCCAGCGGGTTCCTGATTCATATTCATGGCCATTTGGTGTGTGGTGAGCAAGTCGTGGCACGCAAATGAACAGCTCTGCCCAGCCTCAGAGACAGGGTGGTGTCACCATTATCGACCTCCACCTGACGCAAAGCGAATGAGATCTGACCGACTACGTGGCCAGACTGCTGCAAAGGAGGCATGGGAAAAATTGGCTGCAAGCACTTGCCTCGGTTTCCCGGATGACAATAGTTGGCAGACCCCTGCAGTTGGTTTGTGTCAAAGGGATGTCTAGAACTCCGGCTGGGTAAGAGAATTCTATGAAGAAGAAGACGACGGGAACATCACATTTCCAACTGGGGGCCTGCGGCAAAAACAATGCAAAATGACTGGCCTCTCGGACATTGGTTGCCAACCCGCATATTATTGACCCAGTTGATTTGTCCTATCAATGTGTGTGTGTGTGTACCAAATGTATCATATGTCTAATAAAAGCGCACCCCCTTGCAAAAAAACAGAGCTATCTACTGTGGATGGATGAAATCCTGCACCACCATAGAAGCCCTGGAACAACGATTCCCCTGTAAATATCAACAAACCATGGTTTCCAATGGTTTGCAAGTGGTGCGAAGTAAATCTTGTCCATCCACAGTCTATACTCTGGTCTTCCCATCAATTGCATGGCTCGCCATCGTCCCTTGCATTTGACTCGCTGTGTATCCCACCGGACCCATCCTGGCAGCCCGGGCCTCGTATCTGCTCTTGCTCTCATCCCAGCCCAACACCTTCCTGCAAGCAAAAAAAAGGCATCCACCATCACATCTAGGTCCTCCAGTAGAGAGGTTAGAATAAGGGTAACCTTTTTTCTCTAGTCTATTTTAGTAGTGGAACCCTCCCCCAAAAAAAGGGTAAAAGGGCACTACTGGGGGCCCTAGACATGCAGTTTGACTTATCCAACACCAACAAGCAAAGAACATCTACCCTCCCGCCTTTTTCACATGGAACGCGTTCGACGTTCGGGGCCCAGTCCCTTTAAAAGGAACATGGTCCAAACCAGGAGCCTTCGGTCAGGTTACCATTTTAATTGGTGGTAGGGTATCCATTGCATCTATTGTTGAGAAGTCATGACTAGACCACAAGATGCTTTGTCCTAGTCCTTTCATACACACCGTCTGAAATGGCAAAGTTGACACCATTTTGAAACAAATAAGTTTTGGCCAGCAAGTCCAGAATGTTGATCAGCACTGACTCGTTGTGTTCAGCTATTGGAAAGATCGCAATAAAAAAAAAAAAAAACGGGTCACTTCAATGTCGCTATGACTCGTGCAACTGAGCCTCATGTAAGCAGGCTGATGGATCAGAATTGGACGACCACAACTCTACCGCTGCTGGCTACGAGAAATAACCTACCACGATTCATTCACAAAATACATGTGTATATATATATATGTTTCTAGATAGCAACCCTCAGTGTGATGAGTCGTGCTGATGATACCAGCAGTTGTGCGGCTCGCCTTTCTGCGCTTGCAACGTATGCTTCGAATTTCTTGCCGACAAAACATCCATACCAAATTTGTGACCAAAAAACACTTCCGCGATAAGTCAAGGCTTGCATTGCGCTTCCGGCTGCCCCCTGTGCCCCCTGTCTGCCATTACCCATATGACCCATGACCCATGACCCGGCCATGACCCGGCCATGACCCGAACCCAACCGGATCCGGCCCCGGTTTCTGGTTGTGCTCGGCGGCTTTCTCAAGTCCATGCACCACCACCGCCTGGCAACGGGGGCAAAACCAGTGGCCTCGCCTCGGTTTCGTTCAGCTTCCGACCATCGGTGGCTTGGGGGTTTGGCTTGTTCGGTTGGTGTTCGGTGGGGAAACCCCCATTGACCCCGACTAAGTACCTCATCAGGATTCACTCGAAAGCCCAAACACAGCTCGACTGGCTCTGACATCGTAACCATGCTGAGTCTTTGCGAGTTTTTTTCTTGATCTGGAGCTTCCAAACCATCAGGGCCAAGACCTTGGCCATTGACATTTGCACAACTTCAAAACAAAAATCATTCACCAAAGTCAGGAAAAGAAACTCTGAGAGCGTCAAAAAATGTTCGCTCTTTCCCGCCCGACAGCTTCTTTCCTGAGCTACAAAATAGGAAAATCTATCATGTGTGTGTGTGTCACCTTAGGATCGCTTCCTTGCTAAGCACACAGAGCTTCGCCTTTCAATCGCCCTGAACCTAGGTCATTCCCGCGAGTGATGATTAGCATGGAAGCTGAAAACCCATGTTTTCTTCGCGGAATCTCCTAGGGCTCTTTTTGGGGTTCCATGTGAATTGGGGTGTAAAAATCGTCCGTGTGTCTTGCTCAAAGATTATCTCGCTGGTGCCCAGTCAGGAATGAGGAAATGACACCTGTAAACCATCTTGTGGTTTCCCGTAAGGAGTTCATTCCCACATTCCCACTGAGCAACAGAAGGTGACCCCAACAGGCTTGATTGGGCCTGCTGCTTCACTCTCTAGGGCTCCGTCACGTCTTCTTTACACACCATTGCCCCCAAGAAGGATGCTGCGTTCATAGGGAAGCATGAGTTTGCTCCACTACTTGCACCCTGCAACACCGACTTGGTTTATCTAGCCCATTTAATGGGTATCCTCAACACATCTAAGGTGCTAGAACCCCGGTATGAGTCTGAGGATTGGTCACAACCGAAACCTCCACGTGTGCTTGGTTTTTGCAGACATGTCTGCGGTTTAATGTTGACCCCCAGCTATTAATGTGGGGGTGGGGGCCCCTCCAAAAGTAGTCTGATTTCCCACTAAACCCAGAATCGGACACCCCCCTATGAATAAGCTGGGGTTGATTAATAGGGGGTGTCCACTAGAAGGAAGCTCAAACACAAACGGCCGGCTTCAGGGTTCATTTCACCGTTCCCCCCCCCCCCCAACCAACACTCACGTGTGTTGATTCTGATCCATATTTAGTCAACCTCCGAAACTGTAGCACAGTTCTGTTCAATTATCCAAAAATGATGTACCCTCCCTTCCACTAACATGGCACCTGCGGGAGGGTATAATATGATTGAAACGACTGCTGAGGCTCCATCCCCGTTCCAGATCAGATGCCTGGGTAGACAAATTGGTTGAAACGACCTCAGAGTTGCCTCGGGTTCCATCCCAGCTTCATTCCCCACACCCGCTCATTCCCTATCGCCCCAGCCAGAAAACTCGATCCTCCAGTAGAGAGGTTAGAATAAGTTGGTACCCTTTTTTTCTGTAGTCTCTTTTAGTAGGGGACCCCTCCCCCCAAAAAAGAAACGGTGAGAGGTCGGGCACTACTGGACCTCGAAAACCTCATCGCCCCATCCGAGGTGCTGTGCCAGCAGGCATGGCCCAGGCCGGCGCCGGCCTCGAACATGAGGCAAAGGGGCACGGTGAAGGGCTCGGGTTGGATTCGGTTTGCCCGTGACTCGGTTTTCATGTCTTCATTGTCTTTGTCTGGTTCTAACCAATGACTTTTTTGGGGGTTGGAGCTTTGAAATTGAAAAAGAAAAAAACAATTTGAGGGAGTTCATGGCTCGAGGGTTCCTCTCTTTGGAAACGAAACCCTAACGGGCGGGCGCGGTCTTGGTTGAGTGTGGGCGTTTGGGGTCCCTTGTATCCCGACTGAAGAGCAGAAAGCGGGGGTCTCCTACTTGAAGAGGAAAGATATCTTCCAGGTACCGTCCCACAAATGCTATGCTAGTGGGAGGAAGCGTGCATTGCTCACTTCCTGACTGGATGGCCCAAAAAAGTCTGAACTTTTCCTTTCCCACTAAAATTGTCTTCCCAAAACGTATATATAAAGTCCAGGAACTCAGGAAGCGAGGCTCTTTAGATATGCTTTCAGGACCCAAACCAAATGGGTCGGAAGCCAGTTGGACCTGGACCTCCGTTTTGAAGGGTGGAGTCCCGAACGGCGTGCCATGCCGAGACCGGCAAAAGGTTCCCCAGCGACCACGTTGCATCCCTTGGCGTCCCTTGGCCAACTCGCCCGGAAAATCCAAATTTATCCATCTACTTGCGGCAAGGAACCAAGAGCAATTTAGCACCCAGCCAACACAGATCTGTGAGTCGTAGGCTGATCTTTGGCATCTAGGGACGTTCCTAGATGCAACAGCCACCTCAAACAAGGGACCCAAAACGCAGGACCCACCTGCTGAGCTGCCTGGAAGCTTTCACGGGATCTCAGAGAGTGTAAGACCTGGGGGTCTTAGCCTGGAGAAAGGCAACTGAGACATGGCTGAGCCCCATGGAAACCCATGGCGTGGACACATGGAGCAACACACCGGTCCATATCCTGGTGGCTTCTTGTCCCAGACCCAAATAGAATCTCGAAGCAACGGACTTGCCAACAGCTGCCATTGGACAACCTGCTGTGCCTCTCGGCCTCTCTCACGCTGGAAAAAGACTACGCTGGTGTGTAAACCGTCGAGGGGCAAAGGCAGCGGCAACCCCATGTGTGTCTGAAATCGGTTTGTGACCAGGGCCATCAAAGTGTTGCCTTAGTCTGGGAAGGGCCCGAGCTGTGGACACAGCCACAGCCATTCCCCCAACGCGATTGGACTTTGGGGCGCATCCTGAAGGCGCCGCCAGTGTCTCCGCGCTAGCCTTCACCTGCCCCCCTTCTGTGCCCAAAGAAAATGCCTGTACATGATCGGATCCGGAGCCTGTGTCTTTTCTTCAGGGGTGACCCCAAAACTCCGATAGCAAGCCCCTTCGCGTGTCGACTGCGACTGGACATAGAACCCATGGGCACTGACGGACAAAAAACCACCTGGGATTCATAAAACGCTGTGACAAATCACCTACCACCTGGTGCGAAATGGCTTTTGTCCATCCAGAATCATGCCTGAACATGAAGACCCCTGTTTTGGCCTTTGAAAGGCGAAACCAAAATCGTCATCTACCCGTGCCCGCCTGCTGCTTCTGCCTGCGCCCTTGCCCATGCCGCCCATGCCGCCCATGCCGCCCATCCCTCGCGAAGCGCGAAGCGGCAAGGCACGTAGACATGCGCACAGGCATGCCTACAAGGGTTCTACAGAAGTAGAATGGGGTCGTGGGGCATTTGTTTTGAAAACAAAGTCATAATACAAGGTAAATGTCGGGAATTATTTAGGACCTCGTACTACCAACATGGAACCCACCAGAATGGTGTCTCCATGATACCCCAATCAGGTGGGAGGGTAGAAATCGCACATGTTGTTTTAAGGGGTGTTGGGTAAATTTCCTGTTCAGCTGCCATGTGGTATGACCGACTGAATCATGGACCATCATGACAAACTGTCAAGAACGGCAGAGGTCTGCCACGCGGCAGATTTGGGCCCGCTTCCTAAAATAATATCTTTGCTGGCTTCTATGTTGCCAATCAGCATGCATTATTTATTGCTGGAGTATCGGCAAAAGAAATGATACGTCCCCCTGTCTGGTCTCTGCACGCTGCCAGCGCTGCTCAACCGCCACAAGCGGTGCCAGTGCAACGCAGCTGTGATCTGCGACCACGTGTTCCTAGTTAAAGCGTTGGCACAGCTGTGCGGGGGTTATGCCTATACATAGCCATGGGTCAAAACCCAGTACCCCCCGTGAACATCCCAATCCCCACTAAAATAGGTTCTAAAATGGGTGGCGCACCTACCCCAAAATGGGATCCCATTGGTTTTGACCCACAGCCACATAGCCACGGATACTTCACTGACATTTAGAGATGTCTTGGATGCAAGGTTCATTCCCTCTCAGCAAGAAAATGGTCTTGGTGGCCCACAGTCACTTGATCTGCGATTGGCTTTGTCTCCAAATACCTCGCCGGATGGCAAGTCTTGCAGCGATGCCGATTCTACAGGAATCTTGTCACATGGTGGCACGAATAACCTTCGCACGCCCGCGAGGAGAAGGGTAGGGTGTGGTACATGGGAAGGTTTGGTATAGTACGACGGAGTATGGAATACGTGTTCTCATGTAATGTATGGCAAAGATATGCTTGGCCGTTGCGTATGCATGTACGTAGGCATGCGTGCATGAATGCAAAGCTATAGACACATATGACACATACCAATTCATTGATTTGCAACCACTCCGTGACATATGTGCAGCCATGCATGGTGTGTACAGTATACTTATTTGCATGCACCGCGCATATATGATATACAAAATATGTCATGTGGGGTCGATCAAAAGGTCCTTTACATGGGATGACCATTGCGGGAACCACTAAAAAGATGACAGTTGCCACTAAATGGGAAAAGTTACCCACGGTCAAAACTGGAGGCCCTAAATGGAATATTGATCAACCCCCATAATATGTCGTTGAAGATTGGAAGACAAATCACAGGGACTGTAGGAGACAACAACCTCAAAGCGTTTTCCAGTAGTGAAATCGAATCCCTTTAAAACTCAACAGGGGAAAACAAATCTTAAGCCATTGGAAGTATGCCGTTGAAGACAACTCACTCCGGGACTGTAGGAGACTCCGAAGCTGCGCGCCTGACATATCGAAGGGAAAGCCACCGCCGCCCATGCCGGGCATGCCACCCATGCCGCCCATGCCGGGCATGCCGCCCATGCCACCCATGCCGGGCATGCCGCCCATGCCTTAGTGCCGAGAAATGGGAGAAAACCTCTCAAATACGTCCCCTGGTCTCAAGCAAGCAACTCATCTTGGCCGAACTTAGGCCACTGGAAACAATTCACCTTTAGCTGGCTGAAAGGGAAACAATTCCCTTCCCGGAACCCCGAAACCGGCGACACCCGGCCAACCGTTTCGGGCCCGCGCCACCTCCTCCGTTCCTGGCGACAGATTTCCCACGCGTGGAAGCTGTGGATGGTTTGGGACCCTTTCTCAGACCCTAAACCCACAAAAGCAAGCAAGCACCTGGATTGTTTGGACTTGACAGCCTGTCAGCCGGGTGCAGAATTTCGCTGGCAAGCGGATAGGGTCTCCCAGCTGCAAGGGTCTAATTTGGGTTTGGCAGCTCAGAATAAATTGTTTGTTCGCTTGTAAAGTTGACCCCAGATGAATCAACCAACCAGTTGATTAATTGGGCTGTTGGAGGGGAAACCCCCATTAATAAACTGGGGTTGATTCATATGGGGTCAACATTGCTTGGCTGAAGTAGTCTGATAATCAACTTCGACAGCTGGAAAGCTACATGCAGGCTGGTAACTCATGCGTTGTCATGTGGTGCGCGCAAAATATGAAGAAGCAATCAACGCACACGTTGGAGCAGGCAGCTTCTGCGCATTACATGCGAACAACCGATTCAGACGAATTCAACTCTGTGAAGTGTCGCATCCGCAAATACCAACGCCTTCCAATTACGTGCGGGGAGGCTGCACCTAACTTACCCGATGTTGTTGCCTAGCGGCCACGAGGAATGCATCTGCTGGTCGCGTTGGCCATCTTTCAGTTCGGAACCAAAATGACAAGGAACAAACTGGAGGGGGGGAACCAACCACTTCAACTGGAGGTCGCAAAGAAACCGTCGGGCAAATACTACTCGGTTGCCCTTCAACCAGCGTCCTGCCATAGTTTCCCACAAGTGGCAACCGCACCTACACCTCGCCGGCTTGAAATGGAGGATGCTCCAAGCAACTATCTCATCTTTCACCCCAGCAAAACATATGTTTGATACTAAATGAACTGAAGATTGAAATGCAACACAATGTCAAAAGAGATCCCACAAAAGAACCTGAACATAGGTGACGTTGCTGTGCACCTCGGTGACAAGTGAGCTTTGCACATCCCCAGCTTGCCTTGCCTGAAGACGACACGTGGGTTGCCGCCCCTTAGTGGCAGGGCAGGAGATGACCCCAACTGGCGGAAGACGCTTTTGCTTGGAGGATATGCATGAAGATGTCGTGTGGGGTATGTGGTTGTGCTTGGTTTCTTGGCAGGTGGACACTGGTTCTGCACTGTCCTTTCTAAACTTGTCTCAGCCACATCTTCACCTTGGGATCTATATGCAATGTGTTGTTCTTGGTAACGCCCCCATAAAAAAGACGAGTAAATACCAGTGAATTTGGCCACTCTGATATCTTACCAAGTTGAGGGATCATTTGCATGCGTGTGCGTCCACGGGGGGGTTCTGGGGGGAGGGGGGCCAGGTTGCAGTCATGGTGGAAGCCGTTGGGCAAGACAATGCAGAAGCATTGCGCACGCAAGTCATTCTATTTTCGCAAGTTGGGCAAGAAAATGCAGAAGCATTGCGCAATCAAGAGATGTTGGAGGAAACCAAGTCTTTTCTGTCGGACGCAGTGCTGGAAAAACCCACGCAACAGGTTTGACAATCCCACACATCAATGGTAAAACCCACGCCCCCTGAGCGGGGGCGCATCATTGTTCTTCCAAAAAAAAAGACACGTTCGTTGATGTCTGCTAAGCTCAGCGAGGCATGATTCAGTGGGCTCCAGCCTGTATTTCAACTTTGTGCCAGCATCTATTGTCGGAATTGGCGAAATCGTTGGGAAATCTAAGGTTGGCACGTTAGGTTCATAGCTGAACGCGGACGACTGAGTAGCATGAAACAAGATCCCCATGTTGCCCATGTCTCAATCGTTGAAGGACTTGCTGGAGCGGACAAATACATCAATTTGAGAAAAGTGTGTAAATCCTTGAAAATTAAACATTTAAACGAGCACCCATGTTTGGATGGCGCCAGTATGGTCGTGCGACATAAGTCGGCTTGGGTAACTCATGCCTTCGGAAAAGAGTCTCTTCAAGCGATGGCCAAACACACGTGGCACCTTATTGCACTGCAGCCCCAGTAAAGTGACAAACAAGAAGCTCTCACTCTCTCCATCTTCCATCTCTACTTGCTCAGCAAATCCAGCCACAAAAAAATAGTACTTCCTCACGGGAATCATGATCTCTTGGGGAGCAACGTCTTGTTCAACCCTCGCATCAACTAAAATGTGGGAGTGTCGTGTTCCAAAAGGGTGCTATGCACTTCCATGCTTGTTGGGACGGGCGGCTGCCTGGAATCACTTTGTATGCTGCATGCATGACGCTAAGGGCTGCGCATGCCCTTTCCCCCGAACATGCCGCCCATGCCTCCCATACCTGGCCATGAGAGGCGCGAATCACGGAGCTTCCCACTGGCACTGACTTGGGCTTGACGATATCGCAGTCTGTCTGTTCGGATTCGTATTTTGTGGATAGCAGTGTCTGGCTGGATCTCTTAAAGGTCCGAAAGCAACCAAAAAACAGCGTGTTGCCGTCACTCGTCGAGCAATGATGGAGTGCGAAGGCGAAGTCTTGACAGGTCTTCCTCCGAACCAGCTGAACTCTTGCTACACTGGCCATTGAAAGTCAACAGAATATCCAGGGGACAAACCTGGTGCCCCTGGGAGGTACCCCTGGTATCCCGTTGGGGTATTGAAACAGCGCCTACCCAGGAGTCCATTGTGACCTTAGAGAATATTGGGGATCAAGATATGAGTCACAATCAAAACCCGGTATCAAAATGGTTGACCCAGAGCCATGTAAGGAAAAACCAAGGCGGATTTCCGCAGCTGTTTCTGGCTGGGAGTGTCCCTGACTAACCTCCATCTACCCGGGTTTTGATTGTGGCTCATATGGGTATCTCCACAAGTCGGAGACCCCGTTGAACAGCCTCAAGTGGACCCATATTTTAGGATACCATTAGATACATGGACGCCACCTGGAACAAGTGTCTGACATAGGAGGCATCTGCAAAAGTCGATCGCTTCTTGCTGAGAATGATGCACACCCAAGGTAAACTGGCTAAAGGTCTGCAACGGGTCTGACAATGATGTAGTTTTTGGAGTTGGTGCAAGTACATAGCTTCACTCCAGCCATCAACATCTGAATGAGCAAGCACTTGCCCGTGCGCTCAATAAACTAACACAAAACAGGGGGCCCCGATGCTTCCGCCTGAGGTGTCTTTAATCCTAGAACTTCCTACTTTAACGGGGGGAAGAGTTCTCAAATTAGGACTCGGTTCCCTGAAACCACCAAACCCCTTCAATCCTCTCTGGAGCTTCTACTTACTCTTTGTTTTTTTTTTGGGGGGGGGTTGACGAAAGGGCGGTCCCTTTTTTCCTCTCAAACTAGGCCTCCGTTCCCGGAAACCTCGAAACCCCTTCAATCCTCTCTAGAGCTTCCTATTTATGTATTTTTTGGGGGGGGCTAACCAAAGGGGATACCTTTTTTCCCGTGTCGAGTTTCTCTGCCGCAGCGCGAGCACGGCCTGGCATCCCCATGTCGTCGTCGTCGAAGCCAAACATCGAGAAGGGGTTGTTGCCCCCAAAGAAGGCCTGCGAGCCATCGCGATCTCATCGGCAACGACACGACCCAACTCAGTCGAAAGTCCTCCGCGTCTGCAAAGAGCAAAGCTACGAACATCGAGTGCAACAATGTGCCCTTGAGTCATTGGCTCATGAGGAATCCACAAGGTTTAACAGCACCCAAACCCTAATACAACAACCCAGGTGATACCAGTAGGGTGCGAGACAGCAAACAACTGACGAAGGCCATTGCAACCGGGCCTTAAAGATTTCATCGGCCTCTGCAAAGGACACGCCTGGCCGAGCAGGGTGGGCAAAGCCAGCCAAGAATCCGAGGCCGCAGCGGGTCTGTGTCTGACGGTACCCGTCTTTGTGGTTGCTTTGAAGGGAAAACTACCTCGAAGGGGAATATTTCGTTGTGTGAGCTCCCTCCTTTGTGCACAACCATGTGTCAAAACCAGCATCATGTGTGAGTGTTTTTGGTTTTTCCAGTGTTGCCGATGTTGATCAAGCGCATCGGTCTTGCATGATGCCAACCAAAAGTACCGGCTATATAAAATCTAAGGCGCGATGGCGTCTGGTGCATCGTCGACTAGCGCAGGCAGCAAGCTTTCTGTTTCCCTGGGTCTGTGTTCTCACATTTGATCAATACAATTGTCTTGAATAGGGGGTTCTCAAGGGAACTCTCTAATTGGGCCGTTTCCGTTTAGTGCTACTTGTTGTTTTCCCTCTTAGCCTCTAAACCAAACACGAAAGGGCACCCTTTTTCCACACACACACACACGTGGTATGAGTAGTATGTGAGTATGCCTGTCATCACCATTCCGTGGCACAGCTACGGAGTTGGTATTCTGCTTCGGGTATGTCTTTTTCTGGGGTACCCTTCTACGCTTCTAAAGCCACACAACAGGACACGGGCCGTTTTGGGGGGGTCTCCTAGCTCCATTTGCTCCCTTGCCCCCTGGACAAAACAATAAAGCATATGTCCAATTGTGAAATTGATTCCCTTCAAGATTAACAGGGGAAAATAAACGGTTTGGCAAGCCTAGCACAAAATATTGTAGGTTTATGGAGGAAGCCTAGAAAAGCCTGAACAGGGGAAATACCTTTAAAACAAAAAAAATCAGCCAATGGGACGCCAGGTTGCTCGAGCTCGAGCCTCCGGCGCCTCCTCCGGCACCGCCCTGGATGCCGGCCTTTCCGAACCTCGGGGTGCCCGGAAAGGCCCTGGGGAGGCCACCGGACCGCCGGACTCCGGGGTCGAACCACCTGCTCCGAATCACCTGGGGGGCCGGGACCCCAAGTGGGGTGGGGTGGGGTGGGGTGGGGTGGGGTGGGGTGGGGTGGGGTGGGGTGGGGTAAAAAATAGCAAAACATATCTTGAATGAAGTAAAATAAATGTCAGAACAACTTACCAAAATATAAAATATAGGTTTATAATTCAACTATTAAATAAGGTTAATACATTATTCATATTCATTAACCTTATCTAATTACTTGAAAATAATTTTACTTCATTGAAATATTATATAAGGTTAAGAAGTTATTCTACATATTAACCTTATACAATTTTATGCAAAATATTTATTAATAAAAAATAATGTTAATTTTATTCTGCCTGTTTCATTTCTAAATTTCTTTTATGATTATTTGTTTTAAGATGTTGCTTTTTTAAACATTGAGAAAAATAGCAGTCACAAATATCACACTGAATTTTTATACTGTTCCATTTTCTATTACTTTCAAGTGATTTATTTCTATATTCATCATCTTCTTCATATCTTTTTCTTTGCTCCTCATTGTATCTATCTTTATGTTTAATTCGGTTATTCCTTTTGTTTTCTGAACATTGCCTGCATTGTTTATTATCTTTATTAAATTCGTCAAATAGTTTCATTCTACCACAGTTTCTACATAATTTTCCATTATCAGTTTTGAATGAACCGTTTTCCAAAATTCCTTCATACATTTTACCTTTAATTAAAACACAAATGGTTCCTTCCATAGTTCTTATAATAGAATGTCCTTAAACCTTTAAATACATTTTAAGAAATTCCTATAATCAATATTCCTTGAAACTAAATTCCCAAAATCCCAAAATATAAAATCCCCATAATGTCAAAACATAAATCTTACAATATTTTTTATTGTAAGGTTTATGGACTATTTTACTAGTCATAAACCCTGCCCGCCATTTTCGGGGCACCCTGCCCGCCATTTTCGGGGCACCCTGCCCGCCATTTTTGGGCACCCTGCCCGCCTGCCCGCCATTTTTGGGCACCCTGCCCGCCTGCATTATTGTAATGTGATTTTTAGTGTTGTCGTTGGATGAACCTAGAAATTTGAATTTTGAACTCCAACCCCAAACTCGTTTCCTTAATCCACCAAACTCGTCAAAATCTCACAAATCATTTCAGCAGGTATTTTGTATAAATCTTCCTGCTTATGTATTACATAATTATCCCCAGAACCACTACCTGAAAATAATTCTAATAAATTCATATTATTAGAATTATTTAGATATTTATTATATTAATTCGTATTTTCCTTCTTCGTTCTTAAACAGTTTATAAAATTCAATAGTTTCTGTTTTTGGAGATTTAATTTTGTTCTTATTTAACATATCCATATATTGCTTTTGCTTATCTTCAAAACTGCCAGACGGCCTTCCTATTTGTTTCTTTTCAAATATTTTGTCAATCTTTTCCTTCTCTTCATTGCTATTGTTTGGTTCGTATGCCTTTGCATCAAGTTTCTGGTCAATAGTTTTTATCATCTCGTACAACAGCTTAACATTTTTACTAACTGTCATTATTTTCTTTGATAGTTCAGCAATACCATCATTCTCAACTTCAGACATTTCTATATATATTTATTTATATAATTATTTATTTAAATATTTATTTATAAAATTGATTTAATGTAAAATCTACTCTTTAAGTACTAAATGTTCATCATTTGTTTAATAGTTTCCTGAGTTTCGTTATCACCATTATCTGACATTGTTGCCTCATTTCCAAATTTGATAGAAATATTATGTGCATCTGTTTCCAGATTGATACTGTCCTTAGTTTTATCAATATTCATTGTCTTATCATTTTTAGTTATTTTAAACCCTAATGGCACACAAGAACATTTGCAATTTCCCTTCCTTTGTATTTCCAGTTCGTTTTTTAATTCTATCATCTTTTTACACATAGGACACTCAAACTCGGTTAGTGCTGTTTCTTTAACAATTTCTTCTTCTTTGTCTTCATCTGTTGAAGAAACTGTAGTATCTGTTTTATTCTTTTTGTTTTTCTTTTTTCCCATTTATATTAATATTTACATTTTTATTTTTGATATATTGTATTCCTAATTTTATTAATTCTAATGTATAAAAGCATACTTTCTTACATCTGTTGTCAGTTATTATCACTTGTTCTATATTCTCTACTTCATCTATTATATCAATATAATCTGAATAACTTCTATCCATATTAAATAATAAGATGAAATAATTATTAAAAATAATTATTTGATCTTATTATTTTCATGCATAATAGAATATTGGTGGGGCACAGCACTTGGGGTTTTCATTGCACACGCGAGCAAGACACAAAACTAATTATCTTCAATGCTTATTGATTGAAGCAATGGAAAACCTGTTCCATTTTTTCATTGATATTTGCCGTCATCATATCATGAAAAAACGATGTTCCATTTAATATTAATTATAAATTTTTTTATAAATATCTTTAATATTATTTTATTATGCCTGATGTTCCCATAGTAAAACCAATAAACATAACTGACTATGAATTTAAACAGTCTAAATATGAACACGTGCCAAAATTACCATTTAGAAGTATTATAGTTGCTTCTTCAACAGGTGGCAAAACAGTTCTAATTCAAAATTTGATATTAAATGTATATAAAAACTGTTTCTCTCGTGTCTTTATTTTTAGTCCGAGCGTCCATAATGACCCTACTTTTGTTGAAGTCAAGAAATACCAACGAGAAGAAATGAAGGTGGATGATACAAAAGAGCAAGTGTATTTTGATGAATACCGACCAGAAGAATTGGAAAATATCATTGATACACAAAGAAAAATAATACATTATATGAAAAATACTAAAATGAAGAAATTATATTCAATTCTTATTTGCATTGATGATTTCAGTGATGATCCCAAATTTTTGAGATATTCTAAAATTTTACACGGTTTGTTTACGCGCGGCAGACATGACGCCATCTCTTGCATATGCAGTCTTCAAAAATATAAAACAGTCGCTAATATAATCCGTGTCAATGCCAGTTCATTATACATTTTCAGATTAAAAAACATATCAGAATTAATGAGTTTTATTGAAGAAAATGCCGCGATTGTTGATAAGGATAAACTTTTAGAAATGTATCATACAGCAATAAATCATTCTACATATTCATTCTTTTTCGTAAACTTAAATTCTAAAGATGTCAATCGCATGTTCTATATAAATTTCGAGAAACGATTTACAATTAAAGAATAACCTATTATAACACTTAATAAACTATTATGCCTAAAAAACCCGTAGACTATTCAACCACACATTTTTACAAGATTGTTTGTAAAGATTTAGATAATCCAAATATGTATATCGGACACACAACCAATTTCAAAGAAAGAAAAGCAAAGCATAAAAGAAATTACAATAATCCAAATAGTAAAAAATATAACTTTCCAGTATATAAATTTATTCGTGATAATAATGGTTTTGACAATTTTGAAATGATATTAATAGAAACTAAACAGTTAAACAATCAATTAGAAGCACTAGCGCGAGAAAGAGAATTATATGAAGAATTAAGACCGTCATTAAATTGTTATAAACCTATGAGAAATGATGTTGATATTAGAGAAAGTGCTAAACAAAAATACGACTACAAAAAGAATGATAGAAAACAAAACCCAGAAAAGTATAAAGAAATTGATAGAAATAATTATATAAAACATAGAGAAGAAGCAATACAAAGAGCAAAAGAATATTATATAGAAAATAAGGATGAAATATGCGCTCGGAGATCTGTAAGAATAACTTGTGAATGTGGTTCGGTATGCGGTAAGGGTTGGATGTCAAAACACTATAAATCACAAAAACACATTGACTATCTAAAATCATTACAAACAGAAGAAACCCCAGAACAATAATTAATAATATTAATAATATTATTAATTTAGAATAATGACCAGTTGCATAAATCTACTTTTGGAATAGCATAACGAAACTTTGTTTGTTTCTCTTTTTCTAATTTTTCAATCCTTGCCACGCATTCTTGAATAGATTTAATGATTAAAGTATCTGCTCTTGTTTTTTCATCTACTCTTAAATTCTTAATGTCTTCCATACTGTTATTTTCATCGTTTTTACTTTGACCAATACCCATTATATATTATTATTTAGATTTTTATTATTTAGATTATAATACAATAATAAATATTCAAAGGAACTAAAATGGGCCATAACAATCCCCAAGCAATAGGAGTTAATATTTTACCATATCTATCTATATTTCTGTCAAATCTTTCTTGTCTTCTTTCTTTTTTTAATTCTTTAATATATTCATCAAATTTAGAATGACTAAAATTACATTCTTTATTATTACATTTATCTAATGTAAATTCATCTTTATTTAACTTAGTAATTATACAACCACAATAACATATTTTTCTCTCATACTACTATTTTGAAATAATGCTTTTATTTTAACTTTCCTGTCAATGTCCATATATCTATATATATTAATTAATTATTTATTTATTTATATATTTATATTTAATTATTTATTTAGATTTTTCTTTTTTCAATTCCTTAATTTCTTTTTCAAGTTTATCTACTTTATCATTTAATTCTAATACTGCTTTATGAACTAGCACGGGTAAAACTAAATAATTTAATCCTAAATACTCTCTGTCTTTGCTAACAACATTTTCAAATTCTTTAGGAATTGCTTTTAATACTTCATCTGCTATATATCCTATATGAGTTTTACCGTTATCATTTCTATCGTGTCTCTTAAACTTCTTCGGTTTAAATTTCTTAATAATATTCATACAGTTAGATTTGACATTGTCTATGTCATATTTCAACCGCGAATCAGATGAATCAACAAACGTTCCGTTAATGGTTACTGTCGTTGCTGTTAAATCTATGTTAGTTCCTGTTGATGGTTCAAGTGTATTACA